ACTATAAACAAATTTTGTAATTGTTAAAAATGGTGTCAAAACAAATAATTAAAACCTGTATCAAATAAATAGTATTTTGTTTGGCCCAAAGTAGGTGTTACCCTTCACCGTCCGTCTTTCCGTCTTTCTTAGTTGAGCGTAGAATTTCTGTCCTCAGACACATTCTTATTTTATTTTTAGTACGTCATTAAGTTTGCCTGACCTTTGTACTACTCGTAATACTAAATCGGTGCCTGCTTTTCTGTTGAAAGGACCCTGGCTTCGAATTTTCTAGTTCTGATAGAATCCACACCTATAGCATTCTCTTTGCTGCTGAATTTGTCACTGATATCCGCTCATGTTGTCTTTAGGGGAAGGGTTTGTAGCCTTCAAACAATTTCAATCCCACCACATTCTGTATGTGCCTGTCCCAAGTCAGAAGCCAGTAATTCAGTGGTTGTCGTTTGTTGCTGTGAAACAATTTTTTTTTCGTTCATTATTTGGTACATGAATAAGCCGTTAGTTTTCACGTTTGAATTATTTAGAGTGGACTTTGTTTGCTTAGTATAGCGGACTATGCGGTATTGACTTTGCTCATTGGTCTCTTGCGGAGAGTTTTTAGCAATCAAACCACATTTTCAAGGTTCAATGATTGTCCATTGAGACTTTGCAATTTATATTTAGCATGGTTAACGCATTTCCTTTGTTAAGCCTTTTTATTTAATAATTGTTTGTGAAATGAACCCCTTTCTCTCAAAAAATGGTTGGTATTGCAGAAAAAACAATTACGCAATTACATCAAACATAGTATAATGTGTCTTTCATATACAAGGTCTCGGCTATCCTCATCATAATTTAGTTGCTTTAGCTAATTTATCAAAGTTAAGGTCAAAGATAACTTTCAGAAAAGAGGCCAAAGAATATAGGAAAGTTTGATTGTATCGTTTGAAATATTGTCTGAGTGTTGCTTGTTCAGTGGAAAATATTTCATGTATTTTAAGGTCAAGAACAAATTCAAGAACAAAAGGTCAAGGTAAAAAGGGTCGGGAATGTGCACTGCCACTAGCAAATGAAGGGATATTAGGTAAGGACTAGATTAACATCTTCGGACCCCGCAGAGATTTGGCAAAAGTTCATTAAAATGAGGATAGATTGGTTTTTACCGTACACGAGGCATTTAAGAAAAGGCGCGTAAAACATCCCAATTGAAACCAGACACCATTGTGTATTTAGACATCCCAAACAGTTCATTATCAATGATTTTACTGTAGACAGTGAAAGTCCAATAATGACCATATTTTTTTTGCCAAAGTTAACTCTTAGGGCTCAGTTTTAAATATTGGATCCACCAATTGTAATCCGCTTGTTACACTTGAAATTCATGTTCATGGATAAAACATATTTCAATGTATACATTTTAGGAATTCATTTGTTTTCTGCAAATATAACGCGTATAAAACAGTACTCACAAATAGTCCTCTCTATAAAAAGACAAAAGTGACATCGATTGATTGTTGGATTCTTAACTTCAGTGGCAGATATCGTTAACAATGTGACAAGAAAAAAGAGGAATATAAGATCTTTTTTTTTGGAGGGGGGGGGGTACATTGGTCATTCAAACATAAGCCTGTTCCATCAGATTTTTTGTCTGGTCAAATAAATTATAAATGATACCCAGGGTGAATCACTCGTAACATAATATACGTATGTTAAATACGCCCGAGGTGAATATTTATCAAAATATTAAAACAAAAGTTTCAAGTGGTGAAGTTGAAATCATCCCTTCGAAAATTTTACGGAGAACATCAGCATGGTCAGGGATGGTTGAATGCTTTGGAATGTCTTTTCAAAGATGACAACGGATATGTTCCAAAAGTCGTAACTACAAACCCGTCTTCTTTTTCAACTGGTGCGCAATGTGGTGCAAAAATACTTTTTCAAAGCACCTGAGATCACTTTTAGTTTCATTTAAACGTAGTTCGTGTTGCATTTGTTTTAGTTTTAAATGTTGTTCGTGGTGATTTTTAATTCCTCATATGTCTGTGTTATTTATACCGATCAATTTAAAAGTCTTACCCTATCATTTGTCATGATAACGATTTAAATTTATAATTTACACATGTTACACTCAGTCAATAATCAGGGTGAAAAATTAGCATTTTTGATAATTTACGAATTTTGTGATCTAATCCACTGCAGGGTCCGTCTAGATACCGTCAGTTTTTCTTTAAAGTTTAATTTTGATTTCAAGATCTACATTTAATTTCGGGTAGTAGATGACAATGATTTCGAAACTTCTACAACGTACGTCTGTTTTTAACAGTTTTCGGATAATATTTCTGTCTAAAACTTAATTTTGAAAATTGCTAGAGCCTCGAGTTTATATCAAACTAAATTAAAGAGATGTGGTACGATTGGCAATGAGACAACTACCCACCAAATTTCAAATAAAGTGGGTATAAGCAATTATAGACAAACATACGGCACTGAAAATAATCAATGACATAGTCGGCTACTAAAGGCCCCTACATTAAAAATAATAAACAAATCAATTGAGAATTCTAACTTCTGCCTATCATCAAAATCAGAACTCCTTTCTTTCACCACATTAAATTATACAAAGAACAACCTGTACGTAATACGCTTCAAATGTCTATAGTAGACAGGAGACAGATTTGTAAAAGTAAATTGGCTTGTTTCAGAATCCTAATTATTTGTTTTAATTGTATGGTATCTTTGTGATAATTCATCTGAATAAATATTGTTTAAACAAAGGTCTATAATACATGTGTTCTGAATACTAGTATATACTCATTGGTCTAATTTTGTTTGGTTTGTTCAATTATTTTATTCTGCAATCAGACAACTACTGTACAAATAACATTTACACAAATAAATTTAAGCTTTATTTGTACATGTATATGTTCAAATACAGTCTCCTTTATCCGCTTCAATGTTGAGCAAGCGGTAATGTGGATATTTCTTTTTGTGTACCAGTAAATTTTGGGGTCCTCTTCGCGGTTCGCGTTTAAACTATGTCAATTTTTTGGAGAAATGATAAGAAATAGAGACAATGATTTAGATTTTAACAAAAAGTAGCAAGTGATGTGTGTATAATTCAGGATAAAAACAATAAATGTACACTGTCGGAAAATATAAAATTGATTTGTACTCGTTACGACGAGCCTCCCTTTTCGTCCTGTTTCTAAAGCTCATACAAATTAGTTTTATATTTTCCGACAATGTACATTTATTGTATATGTGCATATTGTTAAATAGCGTTTATGATTGTTTGTTTAACCATATGCGTATTTTAATGCATGTGTTTTGCAAAAAATGTGTTATGTCTTTTCTGACATTATGCGATTCCTAAATTTACATATTTACCATCTCCGACAATGAGTTTCGTGCTAGAAAAGGCCTTATCACACAATTTATAAATAAAATGTTTAAACTTATAAAAGTCTTACTTATATAAATCAGCCACCAACCAAAGACCTAGAGTCGTTTCTGATGTTCGGTATGCCAATGAGTGCAACAAAGAACTACAAGTACCCCATACTGTAGAAACCACCTAAAATCACAGTACAAAAAAAGATCTACACAAGTGGCTAAATGTGTTAAACTATATAGTTAACATGTACTATTTATTAATCTTAACATTACACCAGGTATTCAGTGCGTTACTAATACAGACGTTTTCGAAACTATCGATACTAACACTTTATACCTATGCCGACATGCATGTAACGTTAAGTCATCTCAAGTATTAGAAAAACACGGGCTTATCTAATGAGCGAAATTATTATTTTATATATATGTGTTTACCTCTCAAAGGTTAGGGAAGGGTTGACATCCTCAAACGCATTTAACCCAACCACATTTCTTCTGTCGTTTTTTTTTAAGTGTAATATCACTATTATAGTTGTTCCCCAATTAGTCTTTGTTAAATTTGCAATTTTCAAAAACATGTTTAGAACTTTCTTTGTTTCAAAAAAAGAAATCTTGGCATGAGTCAAGATTAATTCTATCCAGTGCAATAGACAAAATTCGAATAACGTGTCGTTGCGTATAAGTAAGTTAACCAATCAAATTTACACCCCCTTTTTATGTGTACAAGCTTTAGTAACTAAGTAACACCAATCAGTCAATCAATATTTGTGGTAGACAAATTGGGTTGGAAAAGATTTAATACAATTATCTTCTTTCTTTTCACACAAAAATACACTACCGTGATCGGGATGATCCTTCGACAAGAAGTCCTTTGTAGTGTCATCTGAGTCGTGCAGATTAATTGAGAACATCAAGACCTTCTTGATAAATATTCCGTATCAACTTCACAATTAATACATGTGGTCTTGAAGTATTACGTACTGACGTTGTTTACCATCTTGATAGCCAGCGTTTTCTTTACTTATTTTTACATATTTTTAACATTGACGGTTTAGTCTCTCTTTTTTTGGTTTATACTTTTGGCGTAGCTAGTTATTTATGCACGTACATCCCGCTATTGTGTTATTGTGCTATGGTAATTTTTGTAATCTTGTCTTTTATTTTTGCTTATGTACTGTGTCTATAGAGTGTCTTTATGACATTGTGTTTTTGTTTGTTGAAATAGTTGTTGGTTTTTATAGTGATTAAGATTATAACACAAAACTGATTGCTGTCCCACAATTTTTACATTTTCACCTATTATGTCTGTTTGTTTTGCTCATTCAGTGTTATGATTGTATGCATGTATATACCTGTGATACAAGTGTGAGGTTCAGCTAGCTATAAATTCAAGTTTAATCCATCATTTTTTACAAACAGAAATGCATGTACCAAGTCAGGAAAATGACAGTTGTTTTCCTTTCGTTTGTTGTGTTTGAGCCTTTGATTTTGCCATTTGATAAGGCACTTTCCGTTTTGATTTTTTCTTGGAGTTCGGTAATTTTGTTATGATAACTTTAACATGTAAATGTGTTTAATGGAAATGATGAATATCCAAAATAATATGACAAGAATGGTTAACACGCAACTCTCATGAATATAAAATATAATTTATTAAGTTAAAGCACGTGATAAATGAAAATTATACACAAAAACAAGCACGGTCAAGTAAATGTAATTTATGTGCACTTGTTATAATAAATGTATATAATTAAATGTATATAATAAATGTATATAATTAAATGTATATAGTAAATGTATATAAACAATTATATTATAAAAGGTGGCATGACGTAACAAAGACACCATCAAAAGTCAAAGAAAAAAACAAAAATACATGCAGCAACCAATACGTGATCACCAAAAAGAAAGGTAATTTTTCTTGTATAAGCTTTTATGAGGGTTTCAAAAATACCCCTTTGTGAAACACAAAGCCCTTAAAATTATTTGAATTGAAACTTTGAATGTTGAAATATAATTGTTAAAGATTCACATTTTAAAATCGCGTTGTGTAATAACATAAATGTAAACAGTAGTTATTTCCTTTGTACTATATCATTGCAGCATATTTATTCATACATACATGTATATCTTTAATACTTTTGTATACATTGTATACGTATATGTGGACGTTCCCAATATTAGCAACATAAAAAGTTTGGTTTGACATACTTTGTAATTGAAATAAATATACATATCGGGTTTTGGTATTTCCTGAAAATGCACAGAAAAACCTATCTGAATTTAATAAATGCCATTAGATATTCTTCATAAAAATTTGAAGGAAAATGTTCACATTAGTTGAATAATAAAAAAGATGACAAGAAAAATATAAGTAGATTTTTTTTAATTTTTGGACTGTAAAAGATGAAATGAAAATTCTTTTAAAAAATATTCCCGGTGTTCTGATAATACAAATATAATTTGATTCACTATAAATTGACAAAATAAACGAGTGTTATATTGTTTTAAACTGTAGAGAGATAGATTTCTTAAATAACAAGTCATTTGTACCCACTCTTTATCCCATGTTTTTTTCTATCAAAATTTAACAATTATGTTACATATCTTCCTTTACCAACAATGACTAATTTGGAACAGTTTTCACAAAAAGAATAATTTCTTTTTTCAATTTTTTTGTTTTATAAAAGAAAAGCCCAAGTATAGCAGAGTTAATCAATGATGGCACACGTGGAATTAATTACTAATGAAGTATACACACTATGGATCTATACAGTTAAACGAACTTTAGTTGTTTCAACTGTTCTCGTACTGGTACTTGTAAACTGTTTTGAAGATGAATGCAAATCAGTATAAATCACAGTGGTATCAATGTTTTCGAAAGCGAATCGGAAATCGGACATTGATTGAATATCTTTCATCCCCAACTGTTCTCTGATTGTTTGGTAGAAAGAAGTCGGACACTGCAAAGCAAAATACAAAAAAACTATGATTTTCTACAATTCTTACTGTTTTTCCTATCATCAGAATTAACACTGGTACATGTGTTTTGAAAAGATATTGAACAGTGAACATGCACGACTATGTGGTGACAAATATTCTGTTTTTTTAAAATATACACCTCATATATTTAAAATGAAAAATGCTGAAATAAAGTGTTCAATATGAGTATAAAGACACATAAGATATAACAAAATTGACATCCAGGACTCGTATACAAACAGTACACTATGTCCTAGCTGACATGGAGTTAAATTTGTCCATATCATTGTATCTTAATGGCAATACTCGTCCACGACCACTCTGTGTTTTTGTGAGATGTATTTCTATTTGCATCCATCTGATGCGTTATGCCTTTTTCAACTGTAGATTGTTCTAATGTTGTACTGCTGTACTGTTGCACTGTTGCACCACTGTCCCAGATTTTTCTTTCATTATTTTGTACAAAATTAGGTCGTTAGTTTTCTCGTTTGAAGTGTTTTACATTTGTCATTTTGAGGCCTTTTATAGCTGACTTTGCGGATTGGGCGTTGCTGATTATTAAAGGCCGTACAATGACTTATAGTTGCTAATGTCTGTGTAATTTGGTTCGTGGTGGAGAGTTGTCTCATTGGCAATCATACCTAATCTTCCTATTTCTATAATCTCATCAAAATAAAGAACAAAAGCCTATAATACATGGCATTAATATACGGTACCCGTTTGCTCAATAAATATGAAATGCTGTGAAATTCGTTTCTTTACTATTCTTTTAAAGCAATTCTTTCCACACAGAAAACAGATAACCAAATGTCTCCTTATATGTTTTGAAACCATTGCTTATCAATGAAAATGGAGTATTTGCCATTTATTCATTTGTAGTTTTTACTGTTTCATTAAAAACAAATTCTTGCTCGATTTCGGAAAAAAACAATAATGCTTGCAGTTCATGTCTAAAGATTTGTAACGTAAACTCTACCCTAATTTTACACCATGAAGTCTTAAGTGAAGACAAAAGCTCAGTTTCATCAAACAGCATTCGAACGTGCAATAACGTATTTGTCCAAACACGAACAATCAATCACTTAATCAATGTTTTTTTTAATTAATTTCGGTTCAAACTATTCATGCTATTTGGCTGATGTTTGGTATTGTTTATTTCGATGATTAATATGAACTAACCTCGTGGACAAGGAGCTTGAGAAATGCAATGTCCTTTCCTCTCAAAGTCTTAAGCTGCCTTCTAAAATAAAAGTGTTCAAGCATTTAAATGTACGTCATGTACGGCCTATGATTATGCCACTAAGACACAGCTCTTGGTAAAATTCCAACCTTAAGTAGAGGACGTCGTTTTTTCCATACCGTTAGAATAAAAAAAAGACGTTTAAATCATAAGATCCAATATTACGCTGAAATGATTTATCAATAAGAGTACATGTAGGAACTGTCCAATATAGAGTTAGAATAATGTGTCTTCTAGAGGGCCATTGCAATTAGAATTGCACGTTAAAAATATACAATACAGGGTTTATATTCACGTATCTGTAGTATCTAAAAGATAACAACTACTCTTTATTTTCTACAAATTCCTCACAAAACTACACTTCTTTATGAAACAGATGTTAAACAACAATGGCAAAGTCTTATCTTTGTAAAATACTTATAGATTTGTATAGAGCCAGCAAATATTACCATCCGCCAAATTCAAAACAAGACATACGCAAGCACAAAAAATCCAAAAAGTTGTTTCCCAATTTTGTTAAAGTGTCTTGCTTCTAAGAATCCCCAGGATCAGATTCAGTTACGAAATGAGACTTAAAAAATAAACAGAATACGTACTGGGTAGATAAAAACATATCTTTCCGAAGAATCTTATCGTTAAGCCATTTTTCTACTTGAGAAATTGTCCAATTCATCGCACTGTCAATTCCATTAGTCCGGTTTGCATTTTCATCTGCCATCCCAGGCAAAGCTGGCTGTAACAATAAAAAGAATGTGTTTGTACGTACCTATTGCGCATGGTAAAAGAAATGCGACAGATACCAGTAGGGATATTCAATAAAAGCAAACTGACAATGCTAGGACAAAAAAAACGATCAAAAGACAAACAATATTACGCAAAACACACCATGAAATACGAAAGACTGAGCAACATGAAACCCATCAAAAACCGAGGATGGTCTCCCGTGCGGCGGAAGGGTAAGCAAATCCTAGTCCACATTCAACACCCGTAAAGTTAAATGTAGTAGTTTCTGTGAAGTTCTTTAATCCACTTACCTGAAATTAATCAGCTAAGGTATACACGAATGATATGCTTAGTAGGGGCAATATTTTTCTGAGTGGCCAATTTTGAGTTTCTGCTTGTGAATTACGAATCTTATTCGAACGTCGATAAGAAATTTTCTGTTTATGAGCACAATTGAATTAATACCCTTTGGAAAGGCTGCTGAAATATCAATCCACCAAACTCAGCACATATGTTGTCGGTCAAAAAGTCCAGCATATTGATAGTATCATCTTGGATGTACTTATTGTAGGAATCTGTGGGTTTTTTTTTAAACAAAGTAAGATATTTCATGAACTAAAACAGCCCTTTTTTATAAGACAACCAAGTCGATCTTTCAAATGAACATTGGGAATAGTAATACAACGACAGTAGAACGTAACATCAGTTATTGTTTTCTCTTCTCTTTACATTATATAAGTGTCCTACACAGTTATTACATTCAGAAATCAATCATCACAATAAAATCAAAATATTTTCTTTTTTTAAATCATTTTATGTGGTTTGCACTGACCAAATAAAGCTACGTTTTTGATGTTGATGGTGTGTTTTTGTCGAATTTAAGAGAAAACATAGTGTAAGACATCTGGTTTGTGGAATATTTAATTCATCCACTTAAATTCTGAACTGTGTTTATTTTCACGCATAAGTTTTTGTTTGATCAAATGAAAGAATTGGATGAAAAACATACAACAAACATTTAATGTCTCTTATCATCTACTCGGCTTAAAAATGTAGAAATGATTTCCATAGCCTCGCGTTCTACTTCTTTTAAAGATTCAAGCAAATGAATTTTATATTTTTAGACAATAAATAATTTTTCTATATTGCTTGACCATAGGTTACGTTTTCACTTTCTCAGCAAAATAAACTTCACAATATAGTTAAAAAAAAATTTTAAGAGAACGTTATAAAACTTACTTCACATTCTTTGTAGGGACATACTGTATTTGAAGAATTAAAGCAAGCAAGGTTTATCAACAGACACAGTAAAAGGAACAATATGAAAAATAGAGATAGACATATCGGCAGAACTGGTATCTCTTTGGTTTTACCACTGTTTTGACGAGTGGGTTGTTGTGCTATCATAACCTGTAAATTACATAAAAACTCGTAGTAAACATATTATAACGACGTTTAAACTCAGTTATCAGATATTATGTCATTTTATTGCAATTTATGACAATTTTTGAAATGACAGTCCATATGCTAAACATTCAGGGCGACTATATTCATGTTGTGATAAAGATAATAAACATTCAGTAATTTTGTTAAATGACCTGAGCTGACTGCTTTGCATATAAGTATAGAATATAGAAAAATAACAACTTATTCAATATGGAAGTAGGAGAGAATAGTGAACGATTTAGCTTCAACTCACATAAAATGATGTTATCTTTTTTAAAGATACACAGTAACACTATATAGTTATAATCATTATCGCTTCTAATAAATTGTTATTACAACTAATAAAGAGTATCCATTTTCTATACAGATACAGGCAAGTAAGATGTCATATTGGTGATCATGAACTGATGAAAGACAACAACTCTTTTTGATTACAAGATTTATCTAAATACTCAATACACCCTGTTTGCCAGTGACAATCTAAATTCTTTTTCCTTCTCTAAACCTGCCGTATTATCGATGTACCATATGATATGAAGTGTGCGTGTTCTACCCTTGAATATGTGTTAAATATTTTACTTGAAACGCTCAGTTCAAAACAACCGATAAGTAAAAAGAAAATTTTCCAAGTGTAGTGTTATCTGCCAAATATTTACCTCATGGTCGGATTGAATAATCGGTTTTGACACATCTACTACTACTCCATTCTTTCTGTTCAATTCCTGTTGTATGGCTCCGATTACTTCGTTGACTGTTTTCTCCAGTGGATCTTTTCCACTGAAGTCAAATTGAAGATTGTTACCGATTATAGGTTCTAACCAACCATCAGCCTCGTATCCACTTTCCATTTTCAATATTATTATCTTTTTCCCAGTTTGATGTGCATGTTCTGTCTCTGTTATAGTTACACACAAATATTAGTAAAACAAAGGAAGAACAAAACATTGATATTGATGATATAACTGCTTTAGCCAATACGATATATTATGTAATGTACACAGATGTATAATATTTGTATTTAAGTCTTTTGCTGATATCTACTTGTCCGAAATCTATGTGTACATGTACATATTTGAGCACTAACATATTTATCTAATAAAATTGAGAATGGAAATTGAGAATGTGTCAAAGAGACAACAACCCGACCATAGAGTAGACAACAGCCGAAGGCCACCAATGGGTCTTCAATGCAGCTAGAAACTCCCGCACCCGGATGCGTCCTTCAGCTGGCCCCTAAACAAATATGTATAAAGTTCAGTGATAACGGACGTCATACTAAACTCCAAATTGTACAAGACTAACAAAGGCCAGAGGCTCCTGACTTGGGACAGGCGCAAAAATGCAGCGGGGTTAAACATGTTTTTGTGATCTCAACCCTCCCCCTATACCTCTAGCCAATGTAGAAAAAACAAACGCACAACAGTAAGCACAGTAAAACTCAGTATAAGAGAAGTCCGAGTCCGATGTCAGAATAGGAAACAAAAGAAAATAAACAAAATGACAATAATACATAAATAACAACAGACTACTAGCAGTTACTGACATGCCAGCTTCAGACCTCAATTAAACTGATTGAAAGATTATGTCTTCATCATATGAATATCAGGCACAATCCCTCCTGTTAGGGGTTTAGTACCATCATAAAATATATGAGAAGAACATAACCCGTGTCATGCCAACAACTGGTTTTAGAACAAAAGTGTTTTAATTCCGATGCAAAGACCCTATAAGTGAATCAATATTAAAGCCAAAATATGCAATCTTTAATGACCTGACAACAGTATCGTAACTATATCCCTTCTTAATAAGTCTGTTTAAAGGTTTTGTTAGCTTCTGAGGTGAATACTGACATTTTTGTGCTTTGTAAAGAATAGTACCATAAAAGATTGGATGTGTAATACCCGAACGTATAAGATGTCTGCATGTTGAGTTATATTTACGAATGATGTCCGTATACCGATGATAAAATTTAGTAAATGTTTTGACTAGTTTTTGATATCGAAAACGCTGGTGTAATAATTTTTCAGTAATACATAAATTTCTCTCGCTAAACTCTAATACGTTGTTACATACACGAGCGAATCGTACAAGTTGAGATATATAAACACCATAAGATGGTGACAAGGGAACGTCGCCATCTAAAAATGGATAGTTAACGATAGGAAATGAAAAATCATCTCTTTCATCATAAATTTTTGTAATAAGCTTCCCGTTAATGATATAACTATCAAGATCGAGGAAAGGACAGTGGTCATTGTTAGTATTAGCTTTATTTAAAGTAAGTTCAACAGGATAAATTTCTTTAGTATACATACTGAAGTCGTCATTTTTGAGAGCCAATATATCATCCAAATATCTAAAAGTATTGTTAATTTTGTGTATCAGATGTTGTTTCGATGGGTCTTTGCTGATTTTAGTCATAAATTGTAACTCATAACAATACAAAAATAGGTCCGCAATAAGTGGTGCACAGTTAGTCCCCATTGGAATTCCGATAACTTGACGATATACGGAATCTCCAAAGCGAACAAAAATGTTATCAAGTAAAAATTCAATGGCAGATATAGTATCAAAGCATGTCCAATTGACATAGTTCTTTTGTTTGTTGCTACTAAAAAATGACCTAAAAGAGTTTGAACATATGAATTCGCATTCCGGCTATTTAAATGCCCATTTAATTAGGTGTGTGAATTTTTTCTAAATACGAATATGAGGCAAAGTGGTATATAGGGTAGAAAAATCAAAACTTTGAACAGATTCAAAATCATCAATATATGCATGCAATTTATCAAGTACTTCCAACGATCTAAACATGTTTGTGACATCACTATGACATTAAATGATTGATTTATTGTTTTTTGCCTAAAGTTCAGTAGCAAACATCTCATGAATGTTCAATATCAGAACACATTAACAATATTTACAATATGATGGTCTGTTACAGAGGCCGTTCGGGATGAAGGTCTATACTGCATGTACTGGAATCACTACTGGAAAATGTGAACATATCGGTTATGGACACAAAGTTTGCTTTGCAACAGGCAACCTACTTACACCCCAAACATGCTGCAAGTGTTGTTAACATACAAATAGTGTTGCATACCATCTCTATATTGAACTTAACTTCACCATTCTGATGTCATTGCTGCTTGCTTGTCCCACAGAACCAATCGGAAGTACCACTTTGATTAAGGATTTACTGCCGGTCGTACAAAAGACTACAGCGACATAATTTCTATTCCATAGCCATTTCTTGAGAACAGTGACATTACAAGTGACCTTTTTTCTTTAAAGTGTTTATTATATTTACTTGTTCATAATCAAATAGCTAAAATACTTTTTACAATACTTTTTAAAATAGTTTTTAAAGGCTTGAATAATGATACTAATTTTGCAAATTAAAGGGCTGAAAAAAAGCTTCCTATATACGTCATTCTTTGTATTCAACATTGACAATATTTGAATCAATGTTACATTCAAAACTAGATATGATGTTGATATCTCAAATTCTATGATATTTGAAATTATTTGATATTACTGTTTAGCAAACTAGTCTAAATATATTGCATGTTTTGGAAATTACCTAATTTAAAATCTATGCAATATTTGTTGACACAAGGAATCAATGAGTCGTGCTTCAAATATTTTAAATCTAATTATACACAGTATTGAATACTAACCAACTCAAAAGAAACGATAGCACCTTTAGGGATGATTCTTCAACTCTAGGACAAATTAAGTCATACTGTATTCTACTTGAAGCTTTGTGGACGTCAATCGGTAGTTTTATTGTCGAAAATTGAGCTGGCGATGCGAAGCGTTACAACAAAATTTTGTTTTAAACTAACATTGAAAATAATTATTAATATCTATCTTGATAATTATCATCTATCCATATATTTATACATCACACCATATTTAATCATTTGAATAAGATATTCGTTCTATCTGTATATTTTTTCTCACAAGTGCTACCTGTATACCTGTATGTTGCATCATTAAACTACTGGTGGACGTCCACAAAGCTTCAAATACAATACAGTTACCTCGATTTTAATGAAAAATAAAAAAAAATGATTTAAATTTAGTCATTATTTCTTCTAAAATTTTCATAAAACAAAAGTTCCAAAAATGATGTTATCTTCTTTGGCTCCTAAACTCATAGGTATGCTTTCGATGTCAAACGTAAACAGCGGCTTTTTTTTTTTGGCTTTTTGTCCGCTTTAGAATGTAATGAAATTTGTTCAAAATTAGACTTTTAGGTGCAAAATGTGAGTTATATTTTTCAATGAAATGCTAATGCAATTGTTTTGTATCAATGGTTCTGATTGGATGACAAGCAAAATAAGAATCTCTTTCTCCCTGTCTGTAACTAAGGGAAGCTGACATTTTAAAATCCGGAATGTATTGAAATGTAATTTCTTATATACATTGTAACAGGCAAAAAAATCACATTTTAATGAAGATTTTATATAGAAATAATGACTAAAATTGAATAATTATAATTTATTTCTTTTCATCGGTAGTTTTAAATTCCAAAGCTAAGCGTTGCCAGGTAAACTCAATTTGCGACAGTTAAACACTTGATTGATGTCTGCAAAGCTTCAAATACAATACAGTGTTTAGCTCTTATTTACTTGAAAACATATTATCAACTGTTTTTTCAAGTAAATAAGATTTTGAATATTCTGATTGTTTGAAGAAATGATCGTCATTATTCAATGAATTATATTTCTAAATTATATGAGGAAATGACTTTAATTTTTATAATGATTGATATCTGTTTTACTTTCTATATCTACAAATACGTATAAACAAATACGTACCCGCTCTACAGTTATAACTGTTCTTGTATTTATATGAATGACAGACAAGTACAATATCTGCCTGATCAACAGCATCAGACATGGCCTCGACTGTGGCACCCTGGATATTATGGACATGCATCCATACGTTAATACAATTCTTTTTTAGACCATCATATATCTGTTTTACCACTGGTTGGTTCCCCCAATTGTGACTGATTAAAATGTGTCTATTGACACTTCCTGTTTCTTTGTCTTTTTGCTTAATACCTATAATTGGAAGATAGAAAAAGTAATTAGTTTATTGATTACAATATCGAACAATGAGAACATAAATAAATTCCGTACTTGCATTACTTCAGAATAGAAATAAAAGGTTATTAAAGCCCGCAGTTTCAATCAAACAATTTAAGGAAAGATGTTGAAAGCCTTCTACGATTATATCGTAAAGATACTTTAAATTTTCTAGTAGAAAATATGTCACACGATGATATTACTAGGATTGTAGAATGTATTAACAATATTTTTAAATATTTACCGCGGTTTTGATAGTCACTGATCGTCCATAAAGCTTTCATGCTAAGCAGTTTAACTTTTTTATCTGATGAATTAGACAATATTTCCAATGTTGATATCACCTTCCATTCTTTATTGTTGATCATCTCTGTTTTGTTCTCAAACGATAACCCCCATATAGCATAAACGGCCTCTTTTAAAAAAACAGAAAACAAAACATAATTCAAGATTAATGTATAACATTTTAAATCTCAACTACATGTATATGTTCCTTCTAACAAGGAAATATAAACATTAATTGTACTAATTAAACATGCTATTCAATATGATATTATTGCATCAATTGTTGTTTTAAAATCTAAGTTGCTTTCGTTGTAAACTTATGATATGGCTTATTCTGTAGTTAGTTTATTATTATATACATTACCACGTTGTTCCTCGATGTTCCCATCTTCAGTAATTTTCACTAAGAGAGGAATAGCACCATGCTGTACGACAAATCGTTTATTGCTGTCATTTCTCCCCACTTGTTGAATAACTGTAACATATAAAAATCATTATGATATCTTGTACTTTACCCATTATGATATTGAGGCGGATTTCGTGGTTCTCAATTATACGGAAAATCTTATAGTAGTACTACGAAACTGTACAACGTATTCACACACTTTGATACAAATATCTAATTGAATGATTTTGTATTTAAAACGATAACATAGAGAAAATGTATCAATTTTATAAAACACAAACATTTAAATATAGTTGAAAAATAAGAGCGACAGAAATGTACCACTGTTCAATAGTCATAAATCGATAAAGCAAAAACAAATGTTGGTTCCATAATTATCATTCGGTTTATCACGGAAGCATTAAATGCATGTTATACTAGTACATAAGAATATTGTATAAACCGTGACTATTAACGCTTTTTGTTTAGAAATATTTTGTTTCACCGGTGTTAACGACAGTAATACACGTGCGTCAATACACTACACTGGGAGGCTAACATTGAAATCAAAAAGACACGAAACGATTTAGACTCATTATATTATCATAAGTCTGATGTGGTGGGCCAAGTAAAACATCTATATAGTTTCTGTGTTTTTGTGCAATTAGGGCGGTGTCTTATTTACGTAGCGAGGATTATTTGATATTTATTGTGTTAACATTTTTCGTTGATTTCGAAAGTAAAGGTCAACCATGAACTTAGATTTTTCAACGAAGTGGTATTTATATATAGGCCTGTGTGTAGAACCATGAAATTGATAATATCCACGAAAAAAGAGTTTTACCTCAATCCACGGAAATGTGTACCTAAGAAAAAATTATTCAACAGAATACCAGATTCATCATTGTTCATATAATTCTGGAAAAAAATGGTCGGATCAATTCGATGAATTCAAAGCAACCAAAGACCATTAAATACAGTTCCATCAATCGTTAGAAACAATTTTCTCATCTTCTTGCTTATGATTAAAATAGCCTATTTCTCAGCATATGACCAAACTGTAAATCCCAAAAAGATACGTTTGAGGATTTTTGAGTCATGACCTATTTAACAAAAAACTATATATTCTCCTTTTTCTTCAATTTTTGTTTTCGATGTCCTTTGGTGTTGAAATTTCTAAAACATTTAACATTCTAATTTCTGTTTTATAAACAACACAATACATGATTGATATCAGTGAGCAATTTTTCTGATATTATTGAATAAAAGGCAACAGTAGTTTATCGAGGTCAAAATGTCATAAATAGATCGAAAAAAAAAATCAAGGTAAAACATGAAAATAAAGGATTTGCATATTCCGTATGCTCAAACATCTGTCAGAGTTTGATAAATGAATTATAAATATAAAGAAACAAACTTCCATACAAATTGGTTCTTGTGAAAGGATTAATATTAGAATAATAAATTATTTTCTCATTACAGACGTACTTGTACTTACTTCTAGCTATTTCCTTAAGAGAACAGTCGCCATAACTTCCACCTTCTATAACATTTGAAATTATTGACATTAAATCCTTAATGCTATCTGACTTGCTTTCTAAAGTTCCACTTTCAGATTCTTCAACCAAATCAGCAAGTGTTGCTAAGCATAGAAGTCGCATTATGTTGTTTTCTGATTCCAAATATGGTTTCATTGCTCCAATACAGTTTGCACCTCGAATGTTTGGAACATTACCCTCAAACATGGATATGTTATGCAATAAACGACAGAGCATTTCAACAATATTTTCTCCCTCTTCCTTAAAAGATTGAAATATAAATATGATAAAACAATTTTCTTATGGTGTAAGATCTATAGATAGGCTTCTTGAATAAGAAACACAGAAAGAATGTTAAAAGAAAAATTGTTGTGATTCGGATAAATATGATATAAGGATGTCCTACTTACTTATTTATCTTTTTGAATTCCAGAATACATATGTTTTTTTTCCATAACAATCGACAGCAGAAGCATTTTTTGAACTTTTATTTCAAAACGATTTTCATAACAAAACTGAGTTGGAATGAGTCCGTATTTGAGTCAAACAATATACTACTCTGAATCTAATAATGTACATTTCCATTCAGCTGTTTTTTGTCATTTTATGTGTTAAAATAAAAGTTAGTCTTTCATTATTTATTTAATCACTCTTTCAGTCGTTTTGTGTCAATTTCTCATTTATTGTACATTCTTATAACTTTGGCATACGTTGTTGTGCATTCTGGATAGAAGCATGTTTAGTTTTCTATGTTGTGTCTTGTGTACTATTATTTGTCTGTTTGCCTTTACCTTTTTAGACATGGCGTTGTCAGTTTATTTTTATATAAGTTTAAATGTCCCTCTGGTATCTTTCGCCCCTTTTTTAATGGTCAATATTTAACGGACAGCTCTTGTTATATTTGTTGAAAATTGGAAAAAAGCAAATGATGAGATAAAAGACCCACACTTTTATAAAAGTCGCATCTCATCATTTTAGTTGATTATACGTATTTGTGCGTTTATTACCATTAACTTCCTGTCATTCTCACAACGATGATAATCTTGCCAGTCCTCTAACTCTTTAGTTGCTTTGATGAGAAAGCTTTTGTCCCGAGATATAACTCCACTCAGTTTTTCGCTAACACTTGAGCAATGAACCAAAAACTCGAACATTGTTAACAATGGGTTAATGTACTCTGTGTTAATTCTAGGATACCCAAAACCTTCTCCAGTCTCCAATATGTCAGCACATATTTTACAATAAATTTCAACTGTCTGATACTCTTCTGAATGCTGTATCAATTGTCTCAGCATGTTTGACTTTTCACTGGAAGATTCTGTTTTAGTGATAATGGATATACATTCATTCAACAACAAAGCAGCATCCTGAAATTGCTTAGTAACAAAGCCATCTTTGGTTCCTTTATTTTGGTTTTCTTTAATTACTTTCAAACTAGTTTTGACCGAGTCAATTGTTTTGGAACAATCGACTGGTTCATGATTCGCTATTTCATTATCTGTATGTATTGTATCACTGGGACCCTCTTCTAGTGCTGACATTGTAACACTGACAATATGATCAACAGAATCAATAATAGCTTTATGACAGAACGGTTTTTGTTACCTGGAAAACAATATTATATTATATTCATGATATCATGTCAGTTTCGAAAATAAAACTAAAATGGAGTGTGTGTTTGTGAGGGCTAAATGCCCCCTTACATGAGCAAAGTGATGTAACAGCACAAGACAAGACATAACTTTTAACAGCTGTTGCAAATGGCTTTACTCAATAGGTCGATACGAAATACACAACACATAGAATAAAAAAACACCACACATTATCGATTTTAGAGTAGTCACAAATACTGAAAGCATGTTCAAAGTTAATTGCAACTAAGAAATAAATTATGTTTTCCCAGACTAAAGTGTAATATTCATTTTTTATACAAAAAAACTAATTCAAATTCAATATGTTAAGGACTCTTAACATGTTTGACTTTCAATTTTTTTATGTTGGGAATTTTCATAATGAGTATAAAACCAAAAAGACGCTTCGATCCTGCTTTGAACAGTATTAATAAATTTTTCAAACTATTTTATAATAGTCTTACCTGTCAAGTTAATAATGCGCTCAGATTATTCCTATCAGAGAATTTGGATTGTAATGTAGATATTCGTAACGACACCTTTGTAGAATGACGATGCAATAGAAGTATTTGCCTACACAACCGATATTTATATATCCATTGAATGTATTTCTTTTGTTTGTCACTCCTCTGTGTTTAATTCTTAGAAATACACGTCTCAAAGCCTTTCGTAGAAATGAATATTGAACACTTCATGGTATTTTCTCAGATTAAAAACTAGCTACAAACTTAATTTTAAATAACACTCTGATTTACCTTTGATTTATAAACAACCTTTCTGTAACTCTTTTATTTGCTTCGTGTGTATCATACTTAATTTATTTTGGAAAGACGTTCTTCTCAAATTTTAAAAAATGGTTTAAGTGTCTGCATTTTTTGTATTCTTAAACTGGTAAGTCCAGTTTTTTTTTAAATGGTTTGTCTCTTACTCTCTTTTCTTCATAATCAAGCACCTCATGATTTTTTTTGGCAAAGCTAGTTGTTTGTTTATACTTGTTTTTGCTCATTTGTGCTCTTTTTATCGCCCACTTTTCTCTAATATGTAAACCTTATTCACACCCTCATATTAATTTCCAAGTATTTCTATTCCTGTTGCTTGACGTTAGCACCACCTGTTCTACTATATGCAACACGCAATTTAAATACGGAAGGTATTTGAAATAACAAAAGAACCATTGGTCGTTTATTATTTAAAGTATTTAATGCATTATTGTATGACTATCCTAATTCGGTAAAAACGTTTGAATGACTTTAAACTTGTTAGATTTGTATAGAAATATGTCAAGGACTTTGTATGATACAAAAAATTAATAATTCTAAAATCAAATGTATAGTTAAATGATATATTTGAAGAAAGCAATACGTACTAAATAAAAAAAAAGATGTTCAGTTTGATACACATCGAATAGATCAAGTATAAAGACAAATAACTTTGATACTGAAAAGTTGAAATATTAGAATATGTAAAAAGAAATTAGAAGGTACTAGGTTAAAACAATTCCTATTGGTATTCTGGGTCTGAGTATTTTTAACCGTTCGACCTTTTTCAATATGATATCGGTATGTTGTCTGACTTTTTTAAAACATGGTCAATATGATATTTAAGAGTCGACTATTGTTTTCCTTTTGAAATGGGTAATGTTTCTTTCACACTAAAATACAGTTCATAAAAGTGGACAGTAAGTTTAATAGACGACACAAAATTTAAATCAAACACAGGTGTTACAATACGGATGTAATTATGTATTACTAGATTTACTACAAATGTGTATTAAGGAAACATATTTAAGAGCACAACTGTGTTTTGTAATGTCTTGATTGGGAGATAGTTCACTTTTGATTATTGATAAAAAGTAAAAACTCAGAAAACGTGAAATAGATAAACAAAATCAAAATCAAATAGATTTGAATGATGATCTAAATTTGGAATGTGCATGATGGACGCTATCGTGTAGACAAAATCTAGTTTGAAAGTACATGAAGCACCGACTCATGCAACAAAAAAAGGTGCCAACTGTGGATAAAAAATAACATGCGGTTTACAGTCATTTTAATGTTGTATACCTTTTGCAATCAATAATAATATTTCATGTTCCACAAAGGATTCAGCCCCATTAAAACAGTTGATAAACTTTTAGTAATTAATTTTATAATAATAAAAGCAGCTGTTTAAGAAATAATTGTGAAGGGTTTCCTCCATTTTCAGCATGAAGGATTGATTGATTCATCTGGCTTTTTTATCAATGACCAATTATTGATTCATTTTATGCCCAAAGGTTCAGACACAACGCGTTCTAGGAATATTCTGGAAATATGTACGTACGATAGTGAGAGAGAACAGGAAAAACCCTAAGTTCAGTTATAAATTTTTCTTGGATGTTTAGACAAAGCCAGTTGTTCGGTTATTTTTCTATTGAATCCTAGACTTATTTGTAAAATTAAGTGTTGTCTTTCCCTGTTTGTAAATATTCTGGAGTTAAAGTTCTTTAACAACTGCGATGATAATTATTTCTAGATGATAATTCATTATATTATAGATAGAAGTTTCCCTTTGCAACATACACATTTGGAAGTTGTTCAGTGTTCAGCAATGAAGCACATATTGATTAGTATGGGTCGAAATTTACTCCTAGTATTTATGTTAGTTTATCAAATTTCTTGTATTTGGTCCATTTGTGAGAGATTGATGTTTTTGTATTTATTAGTTAATTTGTTTTGTCAAATGTTATTATTGTTCCTAAGTTAAATAAAGGCAACAGTAGTATACCGCTGTTCGAAACTCATAAATCGATAGAGATAAAAACAAATCCGGGTTACAAACTAAAACAAATATAAGAGGAGAACAACAAAACAACAAAAACACAACATTAAAATGTAAAACACACACAGAAACGAACTATAATATAACAATGGCCATTTTCCTGACTTGGAACAGGACATTTTAAGAAAAAAATGGTGGGTTGAACCTGGTTTTGTGGCCTGCCAAACCTCCCGCTTTTATGGCAACGTCAAACACAACACCAAAAAGACAACATCACATGACATGACCACAATACAAATAAATGGGAAAACATATAGGACAAAGAAACACACGAATAATAGCTAACAAAAGGTACTAGGCTTAAAATTCAATACGCCAGACGTGCGTCTCGTCCACACAAGACCAACCAGTGACGCTCAGATGAAAAAATTTTGAAAGCCAAAACAAGTACAAAGCTGAAGAGCAACGAGGACCAAAACTTCCAAAAAGTTGCGCCTAACACGGCCAGGGTTTTCTGCAGGGAATATGGATGTATCGTGGATCTTCTGCTATGTCTCTTCATTTAATTATTTGTTAATTTTATGTAAAAAGTTATTTAAATCCTTCAGATCTAACGTAAGTATTGCCTCGAGTGAAAACACGATTTAACCTTAGGAATTTCTGGTAAAAACAAGTCGTACATGTACATATATATATTCTACTGCTACCAACATAATAAGTAGATGCGGTAAAAACATAACATGCATTATCGTCTGTTAATGTAGTTCATACTTGTTTCTCGTTTCTCGTTTTATATAGATTAGACCGTTGGTTTTCCCGTTTGAATGGTTTTACACTAGTAATTTTTGGGGCCCTTTATAGCTTGCTGTTCGGTGTGAGCCAATGCTCCGTGTTGAAGGCCGTACCTTGACCTATAATGGTTTACTTTTATAAATTTATACTTGGATGGAGAGTTGTCTCATTGGCACTCATACCACATCTTCTTATATCTATGTTGTGATTTGAATTCAAATATCGACGTAAACGGTTACTACGTTTTACTAAATAAGGTGATGGTTTAAATGTTTTCATACAGTTTTTTTACAATTGATTATTTGTGCTGAGTCTTTATTATTATCATAAAGTGATACCCGATATTTGTGTTGTTTGTGATGAATTGTTTCAGGTGTTAATGAATGGCCATGCTGCTTTTGATTACAATCTATCAAACATTACACGATTACGTCTACGTACAATAATATGTTTGGCGTTTAAACTAGTTATCTATGTGGATATGAAATCTGACTGACGTACCAAGTACTTTAGAATAAAAATTCATCAGTATATAATATACACACATACGCACTCATTCTAAAGGTTACAAAATCTTTTATATAAAAAATTGCTACATAATCATAGTTATCGCTATTTTCCTTTTATCTTACTGACTGATAATTTTCCATCTCAGCATAGTAGAGTTTTTGTAAAATTATTGCTAGAAACTAAGGGTGCACATTCCGTTGTCAATGAAATTAAAAACGTCGTTAATGGTAATATAGCGATAAACAGATTATCATTGGTCATCTCAACTTTAAGTGAGAAATCAATCTCGGAGAGATTACCAATGATAATCTATAATTCTATTAGTTATATTGGTTGTCGGAAACAATTAAGAAAATTATGTCTTTAAAGAAAAAATCTCAATGCAACTTTTTTAATTCTTGTTTATAAAATATAATTAAAAATCAGTGCTTCTTATATGACGAGAAGCGACAGTTGTTATCCATTTTTTAGCTTTTGATTTTGCCATTTGATTAGGGACTTTCCTTTTTGAATTTTCCTTGGATTATTTTTGTGATTTTACTTTTATAACTAGCAACGGAAATGAGGATATAACACACTATACAAATACAGTCTGCAAAGAAAAAAACTACAATGACCATGTTGTTAGTAATAACAAAAACGGTTTAAAAGGTCGAGTATAGAAGAGATAAAGAGAAGAAAGTAGTTGTTTACTCTAGTGGCAATTTACATGATAATCAAATCAAAATAGCTTTTGTAAAAGGGAGGACTGGATTTAACCAATATAACGCATAACGCGGCATACGGAAATCAGTATTCCAGATTCCTTCGCTAAAACAAACTGGTTGCCATGTTATAACCAAACGTGGAGATAGATGCAAACAATCAATCATGAGAGGAAATGCCAGCTTTGACATATCGTCAAACAGATTTTGACATATACAACAAAATCACATGATACAGGCGCTGCTGGGATGTTGACGTTGCTACCGAAAATTGAAAGTTCACAATGCCGAAATTGACATCATTTTTTGTTGTGGATGTATTTCTTAATTTTTTTTAAATTCTTTTTTAAATAATTCCCTCAGTAATATTGCAGATAATAAAAGAGAAAAACTCATTATTTTGTCGATCTAAACGTATAGTTATGCCGTGAAATAGAAGTTTCAAATGGAAGAAATATTATGTCATGTTATGTCAAATGGAAGAAATATTTTGTAATAATTAAGGAATGACTGTAATATTTTTTCTGTCTAGGAAGAAATAACATAAAAAAATGTGGTGCACACTGAATAACCCGCGTAGCGGGTTATTTTAAAGTGTGCACCACATTTTTTATGTTATTTCGAATAGACAGAAAAAATATTACAGTCATTTCTTATAATTTTATTCTAAATTTCATTTAAACCGGAGTAAACCATGAAAAAGGAGACAAAATTATGTCTATGGGCTGATAAACAAAACAACGTCAGCCAATCAGAAGACGTGTTACATCCAAAATTAAATTATTACATTGTAATATGTCAAATGGACGAAATATTACAGGAGTTATTCATTACGTGATAAACATGATAAAGGGTTTAGAATATTTGTTTAAACAAGAACAGATATTACTGCATTGATTGTAACTATATTTCTATGGGGGACTTTAGTTAGGCGCAACTAATATACGTCGACAGTTAACGAGTCAAAGTGTACGCCAAATTATACCAATATCTGTGGCATATACCCAAATTACTGTAACTTGACCTTAAATCGATTGCCAATGATTTCAAGACATATACAAGTCCCTAAGGTCACATTTAATAGACACATGAGCGTGTCATACTCCTTATTCAATTGTGAAATATTAAAGAAATGTTGTTGTTGTTTTTTTTTATAGCAGAGGACTTTGATTTGTTCTGTAAAGTGTGTGTCGTTCTTCAAGTATGATACAGAATGGCACATTAACCTCGTACCATGGCCTTGTTGCTTAAACCAAAAACAAAAAAGTTTACATGGGAAGTTGAATACGAAATGGTGTCAATATGCCTTATTTTACAAATGGTTAAAAAAAGTTTTAAAAGCATGAAACGCCAAAGGAATC